GCAGCAGTTCAAAACAGACCAATGAGCGCAAGCGATGCCTTTCAAAACAGCCAATGAGAGGGTGGGAGGCTGTCATGTGGGCTGAGCGGGAGAGAACGCGCCGACGGAGCTCAAAACACTCGGTGTTCCAGGCAGGAACCACAGTCCTCCCCATAATGTACAGTATCCTAGCAGCAAGTATTCTATCAGTGTTTAAACTGGGGGAATGTGCTGCATAGGGACAGCATGGTATGGTGTGTGTGTGTGATTCAAATGATGTCTGTGGACAGGTGTTGAATGGCTGTACTCTTTGAAAGGTGGAAAGTGACAGGGATAGCAGTGGTTTTTCAAGGGTCACTGAGTGAGTTGTGCAGGAAGAATATTTTTGGCTGTTTTGATTGATTGTAATTTGTAGTGATCCTAGTTTGATCATTGATTGACTATGTAACGTTATATACTAGTATAATCTTCAAACCAAAACATAAGACAAAAGGGGACAAGGGGGAGCCCACATCAATGCTCATTATCTCTAGATGTCAGATAATCACTAACTATGAATTAACTAGACATTCACAAGGAAATATCTCAAATTCATCATTAGTTCTATATAAACTACAGTAAAGTACGGTGTAAGTTAGATATGCAAGTATATTACAGTGTTAAATCCTAATGTAAACAATAAGTCCATTTCAGTTTCATATGTAACTAATGGCAGCTACTGGCCATACATACTGCGATCAGGATAACTGCCACAGGTTCAGGATCTGTACTGGATTTGTACTGGTCCACCACCATGGGCTCAGGTGTACTGCTAGGGTTCCCACAGGTGAATGCTGGCTGGCTCTAAAGTGCGCCACTGGAATCATTTTAGACTTTAACAAATTATACTCAATGAATACTGTAAATTGATACATTCAAAAACAGCTAAAATATTAAGTAAATTGATTGAATTTGGATATGAATAAAAGTAAAATATTAGTGCTGTCAGTTCAACGCGTTATTAACGGCGTTAACGGAAACCCATTTTAATGGCGTCAATTTTTTTTATCACGAGATTAACATTCTTTGTGGCCTAGCACACTTTGTAGTTTTTTTCACATGCTTTTGCAACAACTAGTAACGTTAGAAAAACTACAACACCGGATCTAGCTAGACCGGAAACAAAACAACAGGAACGCCGCACACACTTGTTTAAGAGTAGTAGATGTTACGTTTTGAGTGGATGGCGAGCGCGAGACGCTGAAATGGATGCCAATAATATTCTGAATGGAAAGTTTACTTTTAAAAAGTTGCCAAATGGTTCCATTGACAAGACCAAAGTGATCTGTGTGTTTTGTTGTTGTGAACTGAGCTATCATCGCAGCACGTCCAGTCTGAAATACCACTTGATGGCCAAACACACAGCTGATGAGAATTCTCCGCCCCCGTGTCAAAGCCAGGCAACAATGCATGATTCTCAATAAAAACAACATTTGCACAAAGATCCACTTTTCCATGTTGATAAGAGCATTAAAATGAAAAAAAAGAATGGGACACAAAGTTAACTATGACATTAATGCGATTAATCGCAATTACATATTTTAATCGTTTGACAGCACTACTACTAAATTATAAACATTTCCTTATTCGTATTAATAATTTACTTTAAAAAATGTATTACTTTTTTTTTATTAAAAATGAATTGGCAAGTTAAATTGTGTTTTAATGGCTGTGTTTTACTTTCAGCTAATCAATGCAATGTCTTTTACACACACACACACGCACACACACACACACACACACGGCTGCCTCGTTAGCAGCGCCCCAGTCGACACTCCGTATTGTGGTCTGTGGGACTTAAGCCAGCGACCCTCTGGTTCCCAAGCCAAGTCCCTACACACTGAGCTACTGCCACCCTAAACAATTTACAAAAATAATTTAAATAAAATATAATCAACTTATTCTTATCATATACAGTTGAAACCAGAAGTTTACATACACTGTATAAAAAGACACATATACTTTTTTTCTCACTGTCTGACATGAAATCAGACAATCATTTTTCCTGTTTTAGGTCCGTTAGGTTTACCAAAATTATTTCTATTTGCTAAATGCCAGAGTAATGAGAGAAGGATTTTTTTTATTACTTTCTTCAAAGTCAGAAGTTTACATACACTAAGATTACTATGCCTTTAAACAATTTGGGAAAGCCCAGATGATGATGTCATGTCTTTGGAAGCTTCTCAACATTTGAGTTTATTAGAGACACCCCTGTGGATGTATTTTAAGGCACACCTGAAACACACTGCTTCTTTGTGTTACATCATGGGAAAGTCAAAAGAAATCAGCCAAGATATCAGGAAGAGAATTGTGGACTTGCACAAGTCTGGTTCATCCTTGGGTGCAATTTCCAGATGCCTGAAGGTGCCACGTTCATCTGTTCAAACAATTATACGCTAGTATAAACACCATGGCAGTGTCCAGCCATCATACCGCTCAGGAAGGAGACGGGTTCTGTGTCCCAGAGTTGAACGTGCTTTGGTCCGAAATGTGCATATCAACCCAAGAACAAAAGCAAAAGACCTTGTGAAGATGCTGGCTGAAGCTGGTAAGAGTGTGTCATTATCTCTAACCTGCCCTTCCTGTCTAAGATTCTGGAGAAAGTAGTCACCAAAGAGTTGTGTGACTTTCTACATAACAATAGTTTATTTGAGGATTTGCAGTCAGGATTTAGAGTTCATCATAGCACAGAGACAGCTCTGGTTAAAGTTAATAATTTCTGATTGCTTCTGACAACGGACCTGTCTCTGTACTTGTATTATTAGATCTTAGTGCTGCATTTAACACCATTGACCATGATATTCTTTTGCAGAGACTTGAGCATCAAATTGGCATTAAAGGAACTGCACTAAGCTGGTTCAGGTCATATTTATCAGATCGTTCGCAGTTTGTACATGTTAATGATGAATCTTCAATAAATACTACAGTTAGTCATGGAGTTCCACAAGGTTCTGTACTTGGACCAATACTATTTACTTTATATATGCTCCCTTTAGGCAACATTATTAGGAATCACTCCATTAACTTTCACTGTTATGCAGATGATACGCAGTTATATCTATCAATCAAGCCCGATGAAATTAATCAATTATCTAAATTACTAACATGTCTTAAGGACATAAAATCCTGGATGAGCTGCAATTTTCTGATGTTAAACTCAGAAAAAAACGAAATTCTTGTTCTTGGCCCCAAAAACCTCAGAGACTCACTGTCTAAAGATATAGTTACTCTAGATGGTATTACCTTGGCCTCTAGCACCACTGTCAGGAATCTTGGAGTTATCTTTGATCAGGATTTGTCATTTAACTCCCACATAAAGCAGACCTCTAGGACTGCCTTCTTTCATTTACGTAATATTACAAAAATTAGACACATACTATCACAGACAGATGCAGAAAAACTAATCCATGCATTTGTTACTTCTAGGCTGGATTACTGCAACTCTTTATTATCAGGTTGCCCCAATAAGTCCATTAAAATTCTCCAATTAATTCAGAACGCTGCAGCACGAGTACTGACAGGAACTAGAAAAAGAGATCACATCTCTCCTGCACTAGCTTCTCTGCACTGGCTCCCTGTAAAATGTAGAATAGAATTTAAAATCCTCCTCCTCACCTATAAAGCTCTTCATGGTCAGGCCCCTTCATATCTTAAAGAGCTCATAGTACCCTATTACCCCTCTAGAACACTACGTTCTCTGAATGCTGGGCTACTTGTGGTTCCTATAGTCTCTAAAAGTAGAACAGGAGCCAGAGCCTTCAGTTACCAAGCTCCTCTCCTGTGGAACCAGCTTCCAGTTGTGGTTCGGGAGGCAGACACCCTCACCACATTCAAGAGTAGGCTAAAGACGTTCCTCTTTGATAAAGCTTATAGTTAGGGCTGGATCAGGTGAGTCCTGAACCATCCTTTAGTTATGCTGCTATAGGCCTAGACTATAGGGGGATTTCCCATGGTGCACTGAGCTCCTCTCTTCCTCTCTCTTTCTTTTCATGTTCCATTAATGCATGTTACTAACTTCACTTCTTCCCCGGAGTTCTTGTGCTTTCTCGTCTCGCAGATTCTCATGGATCCTGGTGGAGCCTCCTGCCATGGTCCTGCTAGATTGCCATTGCCAATACTGTTGTTGCTGTGCACCTGTCTGTCTGTCTCTCTCTCTCTCTCTCTCTCTCTCACCCCAACTGGTCGAGGCAGACGACCACCCACCTAGAGCCGAAGGATCTGTCCTAGGTTTCTGCCTTTTAACAGGCAGTTTTTCCCTGCCCTTGTCGCCAAGTGCTTGCTCATGGTGGTACTGTTGGGTCTCTGTAAATAATGTTTTAAAGAGTTCGGTCTAGACCTGCTCTATTTGAAAGGTGTCCTGAGATAACTTCTGTTATGAATTGGCGCTATACAAATAAAATTGAATTTAATTGAATTAAATTTGAAGGCAGCTCTTTCATGGCTGTCAGAAATTGGAGCCCATGTGCGAGTGCTCTTCACACGTCAGCTCTGTTCCCCCCCCACCCCCCCGGGTGGTAAACATTGAGCCACATTGTCCTCTACTTGTATGCAGCGTAACTCAGTCTTTATTGGAGTGTTTTAGCTTACATTAGGGTAGCAAGTTCAAACTAGTTTTATCTGAAGATGTCTTTATGCAACCAGCCCCAGAAACCATCAGATAGCTACGACAGCTGAATATGAGGCCACACATTGTTGGAGCGCCTCCTCCAGTTTGGAACCTGCCACAGACATTAACTGTACACAGCTGAATGTTAACCTTTCCTGGCCTGTGACTCCTTTTTTCTGTAATTTGATTATCCTGATAATTCATAATAATGTAAATTTCCCCATTATATGATCATTTAGCTGTCCCAATGATTATCATGCATCCCCACATGTCCACCTCATCATTTCACCTGCAGTATGCAGGAGGTGCACACATTCTCCCCACACAATATTCTTTTCTGAATACCAGTTTGTGTGGGTAAAGACGTACACATGGGTTTTGTGCATACACACCGTGTATTTAAATAAAGTTTATTATAATAGTAATAACAAATACAAATTTCGTCAAGTCAAACTGATCTGTGATCTGCTTCACTAGTTCTGTTTATCTGGAAATGCCAGCATGGGCAGGGATGTTAAATGTCACTGTTTACCAGCTTTAATGACAGATAATGAATGGATGAGGAGAACTTTACATATAAAAATAAAATACTTTAATCTGTTCTGTTTGCAGGAGGTGGGTCCGACAGAACTGGACTTCCTAGATATGTTTCATGTTTCAAAGGTGTAATGCAGCCTCCTGCATTGTTTTAGCACACCCGCCTAGCCCCGTGAAGTGTTGATAATTCGTCAATGTTGTATCCCCCCTCCCACTCCAGCACCAGCCCCTATGACCCTGCACAGGGTAACGGCATATAGATAATGTAAGGCTGGTTTGGTAAAACTTCCCTTAATACATTTATTAAGCATTTACATTTAAAAGTCCTTGTGGTGTATTTTTTTCAGAGTGGACTGTTGGAGCCGCTTCAGCCTCCTTTCTCTAGACACCTTCATCACCGCCATCCAGCAGGAACTCGCTGATCTCCTCTCTCATCTGAGACCTACACAACACAACACACCTCAGGTAAAAATAGGACTGCTCAACATTTACATATTGTGTATATACAGTTGAAACCAGAAGTTTACATACACTGTATAAAAAGACACATATACTTTTTTTTCTCACTGTCTGACATGAAATCAGACAATCATTTTTCCTGTTTTAGGTCCGTTAGGTTTACCAAAATTATTTCTATTTGCTAAATGCCAGAGTAATGAGAGAAGGATTTTTTAAATTACTTTCTTCAAAGTCAGAAGTTTACATACACTAAGATTACTATGCCTTTAAACAATTTGGGAAAGCCCAGATGATGATGTCATGTCTTTGGAAGCTTCTCAACATTTGAGTTTATTAGAGACACCCCTGTGGATGTATTTTAAGGCACACCTGAAACAGACTGCTTCTTTGTGTTACATCATGGGAAAGTCAAAAGAAATCAGCCAAGATATCAGGAAGAGAATTGTGGACTTGCACAAGTCTGGTTCATCCTTGGGTGCCATTTCCAGATGACTGAAGGTGCCACGTTCATCTGTTCAAACAATTATACGCTAGTATAAACACCATGGGAATGTCCAGCCATCATACCGCTCAGGAAGGAGATGGGTTCTGTGTCCCAGAGTTGAACGTGCTTTGGTCCGAAATGTGCATATCAACCCAAGAACAAAAGCAAAAGACCTTGTGAAGATGCTGGCTGAAGCTGGTAAGAGTGTGTCATTATCCACAGTGAAACGAGTACTGTACCGACATGGGCTGAAAGGCCACTCTGCCAGGAAGAAGCCATTACTCCAAAAGAAACATAAATAAGCCAGATTACAGTTTGCAAATGCACACAGGGACAAAGACCTTAAAACAAAACTAAAATCGAACTGTTTGGCCATAATGACCATCGTTACGTTTGGAGGAAAAAGGGGGAAGCTTGCAAGCCTGAGAACACCATCCCAACTGTGAAATACGGGGGTGGCAGCATCATGTTGTGGGGTTGTTTTGCTGCAGGAGAGACTGGTGCACTTCACAAAATAGATGGCATCATGAGGAAAGAACATTATGTGGAAACACTGAAGCAACATCTCAAGACATCAGCCAGGAAGTTAAAGCTTGGGCGCAAATGGGTCTTCCAAATGGACAATGACCCGAAGCATACTGCCAAACTGGTTACAAAGTGGCTTAAGGACAACAAAGTCAATGTTTTGGAGTGGCCATCACAAAGCCCTGATCTCAGTCCTATTGAACATTTATGGGCAGAGCTGAAAAGGCATGTGCGAGCAAGGCGTCCTACAAACTTGGCTCAGTTACACCAGTTCTGTCTGGAGGAATGGGCCAAAATTCCTGCCAACTATTGTGAGAAGCTTGTGGAAGGATATCCAAAACGTTTGACCCAAGTCATACAGTTTAAAGGCAATGGTACCAAATACTAATGAAATGTATGTAAACTTCTGACTTTCAAGAAAGTAATTAAAACACTGTCTAAAAAATTCTTTCTCTCATTATTCTGGCATTTAGCAAATAGAAATAATTTTGGTAAACCTAATTGACCTAAAACAGGAAAAGTTTAATCTGATTTAATGTCACACAGTGAGAAAAAAGAGATTATGTGTCTTTTTATACAGCGTATGTAAACTTCTGGTTTCAACTGTGCCTAGGGCTGGGCATCATTGAAAATTTTTTGATACTGGTTCCTGGACGACACCCTTTTTCCAATTTTCTAACTAACTTTAACATTATACATTAAAAAAATAAAATAAAAGAGCGCCAGTGGAAGCTCAAACAATGAAAAACTATGTGGAAACAGGAAATATGACATTTGTGTTTGTTTCATGTATTAATGTGAGGAAGGTTCCATCAGATCTGTGTCCAGGGATCATGTACATATTATAGAGTCATGGGAGCAATGAGAAGACTGTTGGAGCCAAACAGCTCATCAGTCAGAACTTATTGGTTTCTGTCTCCCATTAAGAGCATTAACTCTTTTTTGGCCAAAAACACCTCAACAGAGCGTTATTTCAAATGTTGCTGTAAATGAACCAGATATTCTCCTCACCTTCTCTGCCTCCTCTGAGCCTCGGACAGGATGTACAGCGGGAGCCGTTCCACTGAAGACTACAACAAAAGGGAGTAAAACAGCAGCAGAGAAACACCTACATGTTCTTATTTTATTACTTTGAAAAACACGGGACATTTATATTTCCTTTGTTTTTACAAAAACTCAATTTTAAGGTCACCATTTTTTTTGATTTTGGATTAAAATTAAACAGACACAAAGTTTAGGCTGTATTTGGAGATGGTTCCTGCTCACTGGGGTTTTCACTCACCATGTCTTTGATGGTCAGCTGACAGCTGTAACACAGCAGGCTCTTTAGATGGGTTGTCTCTGGTACCCTGTAATATAGCAACAACACAGAAAGCTCACCAACATTTTACCCAACATAGGTCCAGAATAAACAGCAGGGGGTCCCCTACCATTATAATGTTATAATAATATTAAGATTAAAAGTTCATCTCTTTTGGAAAGGGTGTACTTGCATTAATGTGCTTATTATATCAGTGGCATAACATGCTAATAATATTTAGCGCAATTATTTCTGGGACAATATATCATCTAACAGAAGTAGTTATTGTGACAGGCCTACTGATACGAGCATGAACAGCCTCACAGAGCAGCTAGTATACTGTAGCTGTAGGCTGTTAAACCTCTATCCGAATCATCTAAATCAGTATATCAGCCCATCCATGGAGAGAGTGAAGAGGGGCCAGAGGTCCAGACCACCAAATAACTGATATATAAGATGGCAAGTACCAGTGGTTCTAATAAGATCTTATACAACGTGGAGAGGGGAGTCCTGTACTGCAGGGAAATTGTATGAAGAGAGACAGAACGATGGCCATTATTTGACACGTTGAAAAGATGTGTGCACAATCTGCTTGTTGACGTCACTGTGCAAAGGGTCACTGATCACCCAAATCAAGAGAAATAAATGACTAAAGACTTACTTGGCAGAAGAACAGCAGCCTCCACCACTTGCTGCTCTCCCACAATCCTCTCCTCCTCCAGAGGAACAGCACTGTCCAGCAGTTGGTTCTGGCTCCACTGGAGCTTTAATGGTAACAGGGAACAGCTTGTGTTAATGCCTCAGAACTGAGGGCAGAAGCTCAGTTGCGGACTACTGTCTGGTGTACATTGTATGTCCCCTCTGCAGGATTCCAGAGGCCTGAACACACAGAGAATGCTGAGGCACATCATGTGACCTCAGCTGGAGAATGGTTCTGCCACTACAAAATATCAAATTCAACTTACATTTCATGACAAGCCAAGTCTCAGTAAAAGCTAATCTGGTGATTACATTTGCTCTCATTTCTGAACTCTATTCCTGACTTAATGAACAAACTCATCACAGCTACTGGTTACCACAGAGACACAGCAGAGGGCATGAACAGAGGTGAAATATGTTCATTGTACCTGGGTTTTGTCTCAGGATCTCAGTACTGGTAGCTTGTGGAGATTTAGTCTGGGAGAGCTGCTCTGAGATCAGTGTGGCCTTGAAGGCTGAAGCATCCTCTGGATAAGAAAAGACAGACCGCAAGAGAGAAGGAAGTAAGGCATCTGTTCCAGCCAACCCAGAGGTCTTCACTGCACACGGCGTCCACTACCCACTTCACAGAGATTTGACTGATTTTAATTGTTCATTTTAAATTTGAATTAATATTATAATTACAATAATAACACGCACACACGCACGCACACACGCACGCACGGGGCAGAGTTAGTTTTTTGTCATTGTTACACTTGAGCTTGTTATGTACAGTTTCAATGAAGACTGTGCATTGTTTGAAGGTGAAGAGATCTGATGTGTTTCTCTGTCCTAAGCATTCACATTGGGACTAGTATTACGAAGATCTGAGAGCTGTGAACACTGGAAAACTAGGGCTGCACAATTCATTGAAATATTATCGATACTGCAATATGACCATGTGCATTTTGTGATAAACAGTATTATAATGAAGTACTGTAGTGCTGCAGAAGTGCCCTGGTCAATAATCCTATTCTCCAGTTTTAAGAAGTTTAGTGTAGACCCCAAATGTCACATCATCATGACTTTTGTAATTTTATTTTTTTTGTTAAAATTTAATTAATTGTGAAGCAATATCTGTCAAAATAATTACAATATGATGTGTTTGCCCTATCATGCAACCTGAGAAAAAACTATTTCTAAGACTAATCAAAAGTTGTTTGAACTTGTTGTAGCCGCCCTATACAGCACTCACCTGCAGCAGTATCCAGGGTACACATGCAGAGCAGACATCTGCCACAGTGGCCAGCTGTTGAAGAGCTCTTACATGCTGTCTGCAGCTTCTCACTGGTCCTACAGAACACACAGGGCAGCTTTTAAATGAGCATATTGTGGACTGACCCACTGTAGTACATATACTCTACTCAAAGATGTCCACCATCGATTGTCAAACCCGTCACACTGAGTACTTTCTACAGAATAAATGCTTATCTACAGGTTTGTAATTCCCTACTGACCTGTAGATGGTGCTAACAGTAGAGGGGAAGTCCGCTTGCAGTTTAGTGACAAAGCTCTCAGTCAGACGCTGGATACTGGCTTTGTCTGTTGTCTATGGGACAGACACACAGACACACAGTCAACAGTCTGAGGATGTACATGTTTCAGTTTACAGGCCTGATGTTACTGTTAGATCTACTGCTGCTGCTTGATCTCACCTTAGTTTCCAGGCTTGGGATGAAAACAGAGGGCACATTGAACATGTGGTTGTAGTAGGCTATTTCTTTAGCCGAGTAGTCCCTCATTGGTCTCACCAATATTATGTCACCATATCTGGAGTCTGAGAAACCCTGTTAAAACACACACACAAATAAAATATGAACATGATCTGCTAAAAAGGCTTGTGTGCTTGTAGCTAGCAAAACTCAAAGTAGTTTAAGCTAAGAGTGACTGCAGCATGTAAAGGCAGGGGAGAGGAGAGCGAGGAGGAGAAACACTTTTTTAAGTTTGGCCCATCTGCTAACATGTAGGCAGCAGGCTTTATGACCTATACTGCAGTCAGCCACCAGGGGGCGATTGAAATGTTTTGGCTTCATGTTGATAATCATCATTGTCATGTGAAATCAGACTCCTGCTACTCTGCTGCTGCTGTACGCACTTTGAGTTTACAACTGTAGAATCTGTGGATTTGTAGGTGTTAGAGTAAATGCAGTGCTGCTCTCAGTGTATATTATCTATACACATACCCACACATACGCACCGTGTCCTGAGCCAGCTGTGCTCCTCTGCCCAGAGATATACTGCTGAGCAGTTTGACAGCCAGTCTGGTGCAGTTGTCCCCCAGCATCACTTTACTGTAGCCTTCAGAACGAGCTGTGTGCACCAGCAGATGCTGTCTTTGAGGGGAACACAGTTGGGTCAGGATCAGTGGCAACTCTCCACAAATAAGCACAGCAGCTTCAAAAACAAGCTCAATATTAACATAGCCTGTTACAGCCTCAATGTAAACAGGTTTAATAAATGAGCGGGCAACATATTAAAATAAAAACAGAACACAAAAACAGGATTTATTTATATTAGCTTTGGTGGTTACTCTTGTATTTTAGGGTGATGCTGACAACTTGGAAAACACACAAATTTACACAGTCAGTATCTGATTGTTGGATTACTCACAAAGGGTAATGTAATCTGATTACATCTAGTAACACAACATATGAGCATTGCCAAAATTCATAAGAATGGTGCTGCACTCTAAAAATCAAACTTAAAACCGATTTAATCTGGCTCATAACTTCACATTTTCCTGACCAGATTCTTTGAAAGCCCAAAATGGTTTGAGAGTGAGCTGATAAAAATACAGACTGTACTTGATTTTGTGTTTTAATCAACATCATAATCTTCCTTGGTGAGGACAATGCCAAATTTATTCTACGTTTCTTTGCTGCACCCCTTTCCACTTGGCATTGACCCTGTGGTTCCATTTCAGGAAGGAGCTAATCATATTTCCATGGGAAAAACACAGAGAGTGGTGGATTATCCCAGATAACAAATAAGCACCATTAAGACAGATGTCAATAAGACTGACCTTAGTGTGTTTAGCAGGTCCTCTCTGGCCGTCAGTGTCTTAGCAGAGCCGATCAGCTGCTGCAGTGACTGTGTGTGGGACTCCTGGACGTCAAGAAGTGATGTTTCCTCCACTTCCCTCTGTGTCAAACAGTTGCTGCTGTCCCTCTGGATGAAATGGTCCACAGCGGCTTTGTAGGCACTGGCCGGCCGCTCTGCAGGCGATGGGGCCATCACCACAACTGAACTGGGAAGGTCCAGAACCTGAGAGGAGGTTGGGGACACATTCAGTGTCAAATTTGATCTGCCAGTATGACTCTTATTCAGACATGAGACTGCCATGTAAAACGGTTATCAAATTTAGGTAAGAAGTTGCATTGAAAGGGGCTTTCGACAGATTTCCAGTGAAGTGGTCCCTCCTGCGTTCACACTGACCTGTTCCAGAGGCACGATGTGGAAGGGGAAACCAGTTGCTTTGAACACAGCCTGCAGCTCATCTGCCGTCTTCCGTCTCTCCTCCACAGACTGACCTACAGCGCTACCCTCTGGGAACACACACACAAAAAAATCTGTGTCAGATGTGTTGGCCTCATTTCACAAGTTTAGGAATTCCTCCAGACATACATGAAAATGATTACGCTCATTTACCATCAATGTAGACAATGCCAGGTAAGAATCTCAACTTCTTGTGAGCGTTCTGACTTAAACCCTGAGAGGAAGAAAGTGTTTCCACTTATTAATATTAAAACAAAAATAAGGAAACAGTTATACTGTATCTACAGGTTTATACAGCATCTTGATAGATCAGAAATCTAGTTTTGCAGCCTCTGTAGTTTCTCTTACACATTTTACAGCCCGTTCTCAATCCCAGGCTGTCAAATAAAGACGCAAGCAGTGTTCAGTCAGCTGCAGTCTGAAACTTAACTGCTGGTTCTAATAAATCCTACACACTGCTCCTTTAAACTTATTTCTCATGTCTAAAGATCAAATCTTAATATTCAAGAATCTACCCAGCCTTTGTTTAAAACTGATTTAATCTCTGCGTAGTGGAGCCTAGAGGCTGAAAAGTTCCTTACAACCCAAAATATGAAAGTGAGGTCCAACACTGATGTTGGGTGATGCGGTCCAGTTTGTCCAAAAGTGTTAGATGTGATTGAGCTCAGCACTGTTATGTTAACAGGAAAGGGATGCTCGGCTCAAACGAAATGGATCTGGGGAATTAAATGTCGAATGAATAGAGTTAACGTGATTCCTGCAATGAAGGGGAATAAACTGATATGTGGCACACTTTTTATATAACATACATTTTAATCTTTAGGCTTGAGTTGCAAGTCTTTTTTGATTTTGCTTAGTCAAGTTTAAATCAAATCACGACTTGAGTCCATACCTCTGGCTCTCAGTCAGTATTGGCATGGACATGATCTTCAACAGGAAGCATGTGCAGTAAAAGTACGCAGCACCAGAGCCAACAATTACTACAATTACTATGCACTCTGTTAAAAGAAGCTGTTATTGCGACTACATCAAACAAACGGGTAAACCTCTTGGACTTGACTGAGCATTGAGCAGGAAGAAGGACCTCCAGATACCGCCAGCAGCACCTACAAGCAGATAATACACCGATAAGCATCACATCTTTTTACTTCATGCAGATTATTCTGTTTGTATAACACATTCAGAAAATAAATAGCTGTAAAGTGATGTAAAGTTGTAATGCAGTGTCAGGAGAGAACTGTTGTTATTTAGAGAATTAAGTATTTGTACAAATAACACAGCTTACCTTCTCTCCAGGGAAAATGATCCTGTTTTTACCCAGCATGGCTCTGAACTTATGAATGAAGTACTCCTTGAAACAGCCCCTAACACACACACACACACACACACACACACACACACACACACACACACACACACACACACACACACACACACACACACACACACACACACACAGTGTTGGTCTTCTGAAACCATGTAACATATTCTCTTCTAGCTACATCTCCAGCTCTCACAACACAGCTGAGAAACTCATCTTACATTCTAACAAGACCTTTGAGTTCAACATGATGGTCCCACACACTGCCATTACTATATATACCCTATTTACCCAGGTGTAGAATCGCAGGATAGATTTCCATTCAGACAATGATTCATGGTTATTAATAATTATTTATTTGTATTAATGAAGAAAAATCAGGTTTGCTATTCTTTAATTTTATTTTTTAAGAAAGTGGGATTGATTTATAATTTCCTTTTAGAAATAAATGTAGCTTAATGTCTGCTGAAACCGATGACCATTGTTTTTCTTCCGTTTGTACTTGTTGTTAATTTAATGAGACGAGTTGTTTTGTGTATATATTATAATAATATAATTTTATTATGACCTGCTCCTGTTTTAATTTGCTGTTGTCATACTCTGCAGTTGAGTTTTCTTTCTCTTACAGCTTATTTCCAGTCACTTTAAAGCTACTGTCACACATCCTGCACAGATGTACTGAAACCCTTCCAGCTGCTCAATGGGCATATTTCCTCTCTTTACCAATAGGCTTTTAATGTGAAACTTTCACTATATCCTGACAGTAGAACATGAGACAGATAATGTGTGAAACAATCAGGTTCCTCTGGCTCCTCCTAGTGCTCCTAATGGGATTTGTAAGAATATATTGTACCTAATCGAAAATAACCAATCAGAGCCAAGAAAGATAGCCGACTGTTGAATCTCATCGTTGAATACTGATGTTAGGAATGAGACTCAATCAACTATCTTCAAGCCTTCAACCTCAAGCATCTTTCTATCTTTCCTCAGCTCTGATTGGTTGTTTTCGTTCAGCCGCAGTGGATTCTTGCAAATGTCATTAGGAGCACTAGGAGGAGCCAGAGGAACCTGATTGTTTCACACATTATCTGTCTCATGTTCTACTGTCAGGATATAGTGAAAGTTTCAGCTAATGTAACAAAAAGTTATTTGTACTGCAGCTTTAATTAGCAGTAGCTCATTGCCGATAACTAGTGAATGAGGACAGTAATACTTAAGAACTTGTACCTGACCACTGGCAATTGAGGTAGGCAGATATAAAGGTATTCCTGAAGAGCGGATGAGGATGAATTTCATTTTCCTTTCCACTTCCCATGTACAAGGGTTCAGGACAAAATCAATCAATCAATTAACATTACGCAGAATTTATGTGAGCCATTATAGTACAGGTAGGTATCTCCCCTTAGTGTATTACAGCTATTATTTGAGAGAACAATTTAAAATACCGGTGTCATAGAAATTAGCATGAATGTTCTCTCACGACTTCCAGAATGCTCTCCCTTATATACCTTTCAGTACATCACAGTACATCCAAATAAAAACACATCTGGTATCCTATTTACATACTGCTGTAAATCGCATGTGAAGGTTTTAGGTCTTCATCACAAATGGTCCTTTGAGCTGACCCTGTGACTGAGACCAGATTCTTACCAGACATCCTCCTACCATAAAATCACTAAACCCCTAAACAAACTAAATACATTTACCACCCCACCTAAAACATTTATCTCCCAAATCCCCCCTTTTGACACGTGTCAAAATAAAAACAATACCCCACTTGGAAACATCTTAATTAAAATGATCAGTGAGTCATTAATTACAATTTTGTTACAAAAAGGAAACAAAAAGATCTAAGAAGAACAATAATCACAGGGATAAATACATGAATGATCATAGTGCCCCAAGGACTAAATTGGTCAGTTAACCATTTATTAAAGCTAAAACCTGCGGACTCAGAGGGACCACATGCATCACAAATTGCTGTGATCACACTAGTAATATTATCTGCATTATCTGGAATGACTGTAACACATGCTTCACCTGTTACATTTAGAGTCATAAAGAGACTACCTGTTTTTGCTCAACTTTTATTGGAGAATCTACAGGTGTGTGTGCACTTCAAGCAGGATTTAATACAAAATGACAGTACTACATGTGTTTGACAAAACAAGATTATTTTAGTGTGCAACATTTGGAATATATGGCATTCTGGTGATTTTAAGCCTGATCTAAATTGTTTTCTCTCATGTTTCTCTCTTTTTGTGTGTTTGTTGTTGTAAAACTCATTTGGGCCACAAGAGGCCGACGTGCACCCCATGTCCTAAATGGGATTAAAAGCATTGACGCTTTCTTCCAGGAGAGTTTAAATTTCTCTTAGCGTCGATTAAAATAAAGACATGAGTAATGTTACATAACTTTCTAGCATACAATGTACTTTGTGTTTAGAGCGCATGGAGAAATTAAAACTTACCTGGAAGTAAATATGAATGCTTTTACTCCTCTTTAGAAGATGGGGTGTGGTACACTTAAGCTTCTTGTGGCCAAACTTTTTTCACAGATGGAAAAACATGTAAGGAGCATAGGAAGATTATTCTTGTAAACCCTTGTTTGACCTGTTTAAATCATAAAAACTGCCCTCAAGACCGTAGAAATATTCTTATTTGAGCACATTATTTATGATGGGAGATATTATTTTTATTTTGGCGAGTATACAGAAACAGTGATCAACTGTCCTTTATATGCAGAATTTATTTGTACAAGCAGATTTCAGCCCTTCTTTTTATTTGTTGTTATTTTCTTTGTGAATTCTTCCCACAATTACTGAAAATGAAGCTTTAGTGAGACTGCATTGCTTCAATTTGCTACAATCACAAAAACTATCTACGGTCATAGAGCTTGATGTTCAGGGCTATGGACTTCTTGTCCTTGGTTACTTCACAGCCTCCAAAACTGGCTTGTAAAAAACGTTTTTTAATCAGATTTTTTTATTCTTTGAAATTTTGATTGAAAAACGTATCAAAAAGCAAAATAATAATAATCTTTTTTTCTTTGGCAAGTGACTGTTGTATAAGTGTCCATAATCGGGAATTAATGGACTTCGTGAGGCAGACATTTGGGTCATGAATCATGTGAATTGTTTTCTTTCTGGAACAGTATTTGTCATGTATCCATCATGTTGCTTTAGTGTCTTGTAAGCTCATATGGACTCTGCACCGTAGAATGGTGCAGGACACTAAAATAAAATCAATCAATATACAGCAGATAGACAGTGCTGAGTGTTACATGTCAGAAAATATCTCACTGTTGGTTGCATAAAGTAAAAGTACAGATTTTATGCCATTAGTATTGCGGTCTTTATACTTTTACACTGTTTCTGAAATTTGATTAAAAAAAACATAATCCATCATCTTGCTTACAGATTATTGAATTGCAACCCCTGCATCGTGATCCATATCGTATCTCCAACACACAGCCCTGTGTCTTACCTGCAGTATGTATCTCCCACCCTGATGACCACAGCTGCAGTTGCCTCTTTGCATTTGACACATTTCTTGGAGACACTAATAAACGGAGGGACAAAGGAAGGACATCTTAAAAACCCAGGCCTTTGTGTTTATAAATATTTTGAAAAAAAAATGGGGGGGGTATTTTTTTTTAAAAAAATTTTTAACAAAACTTAATTTTAGCCAAAAAATGTGGCTGTGATTAAAGAGATTTTAAAATTGCGTTTGATCTGATCCATGATGAACATAAGAGGAGAATACACAATATTTTAGAGACCCTACAAAGTCTCACAAATAATGTCGTCCCCTCACAACCCTTTGTCCCCTTCCCCCCCCACCCCTGTCCCCTCCACCCCTGTCCCCTCCTCACAACCCTGTCCCCTCCCCCTTGCCCCCCCCCCTCCCCCTGTCCCCTTGTCCCCCCCCCCACAACCCTGTCCCCCCCACCCCTGTCCCCTCCCCCCCGTGATGTCTTACCTGGGCACGTGCGCGCTCTCCAGCTCCTCGCGGTAGTCTTCGTCCACCTGACACATCTGGACGAGGACTAAGAAGCGAGCACAGCGGCTACTACTGTTCCTTAAGGGTCAGGGTCAGTGCCGGTTACCGGAGACCGGGATGACGTAGCTCTCAGCAGACACAGTGAGGTCTCGAGCCCTGAGCTTTTGGCGCTAACTGACTTGAAGCCGCTCTTAAACACACCTGCCGCTATATGTCACGTTATACTGCCGTTAAATAGTGACGTTATGAACTTTATTTCACTATTGAATGTGCGCAAGAGTCTCGTGAGTGTGTCTGAGCCAAAGACTCCAGGCGCCCTTTGATGACGTAGCAGTCTTCTGGAAGGCAAACAGCAGGAAGTTGAGTTAGCGCCACCAGCTGGTACGGAGGGTGGCTGTTAGTATTAATATAAGAAATGTTCAATAAAAAGAGTTGATAAATTACAAAAGATTGCTATGTAGTCATAATTAAATAATATTGCTCAAATCCTGTCAATAAGACTAGTTTTAGTTGAGTTATTAGTGTTTGTGGCAAGCTCTCAATCGCTATTAGAAAAGAGAAGCAACCCTTTTTGTCCTGCAGTGAGACGTCCCAGTCTCCATTAACACATACACCAATACCTCCTAATGCTTGTTGTGTTGACAATATTGACAAAGACTCAAACTAAAGACATTTCCGGTATATTTTAATTTCATTTTAGTTCAAGTACACAATATCATTTTTGTACGTTTTTGTGTTTATTTTCCTTTCAGTTAATTAAAGTCACACCCAGTTTTAGTTTCACATTTAGTTTGAGTTAACTGTTATACACCTTGCTGCTGACCCTCTCTTATATCTATTGAATTTCAGTGAATCTCTCTACGACTCAGAGGTCACTTCACTCAGTCTCTGTATAGTATCTGAGACAGTATATTGGTTTCATTTTATTCATTGAATTAAAGTCAACTCTCCACTTGACCACAAAAATCACTGCTTCCTGTTTTATGTTAATGTGTGTATTGTACTGTGTGATGACCGATGTCTTTGTCTTTTATGTGATTGAATTCAATATCCAGTGCAGAGTCTGGTGCTGAGGATGCTTCAGTGTGTTCAGTGGACTGCTGCGTGTGTGTTGGGGAGGGCTGTGTGTGTGTGTGTGTGTGTGTGTGTGTGAGAGAGAGAGAGAGAGAGAGAGAGAGAGAGAGAGAGAGATTGTGAGTGAGTGTGTGTGTGTGTGTGGTGTGTGTGTGTGTGTGTGTGTGTGTGAAAGAGAGAGAGAGTGAGTGTGTGTGTGTGTGTGTGTGTGTGTGTGTGTGTGTGTGTGTGTGTGTGTGTGTGTGTGTGTGAGAGTGTGAGAGAGAGAGAGAGAGAGAGAGAGAGAGATGAGTGAGTGTGTGTGTGTGTGTGTGTGTGTGTGTGTGAAAGAGAGAGAGAGTGAGTGTGTGTGTGTGTGTGTGTGTGAGAGAGAGAGAGAGAAAGTGTGTGTGTGTGTGTGTGTGTGTGTGTGTGTGAGAGAAAGAGAGAGAGAGAGAGGGGTGTGTGTGTGTGTGTGTGTGTGTGTGTGTGTGTGAGAAAGAGTGAGTGAGCGTGAGTGTATGTGTGTGCGTTGTGTGTGTGTGTGTGTGTGTGATGCGTGTGTGTACCCGGGAGGAGACCTGACCCTGTGACATCAAAAACACGTCATGAATGTGGATCCTGGTCCCGGTCTGCTGTCAGTGCCACTGACGGCTCCTAAAGGTTCCGTGGTCTCCATGGTGCACAGGTGGCAGTATTATAAAAGCCATATTCACAGCAGCAATAAAGTTTCTCTCTCACTTTCCCTCTAGTTCAGCTCTCCAACAAACCGTTATCCAGCACATCCGTTCTCTGAGAGTTCAGCTCCCAGTTTCTGCACCAGGTCAACCAGGTCCAAATGAGGGACTGCAAAGGCCTGCAGCTCTGATATAACCTGCTGTGTCACCTTTCTGTCTCCATGACACTGGCACACGTGCAAAAGCGCGCGTGCAATGATTTACAGTAAATAGGTGATATTGATTATCGGCCTTGTGTGTGATTAGGGGTGTGTATGATCTTCCATTGCCTCTACAGATTGCCAGAAACTTCTGCAGCACCTGAATGCGTCTCTATAACCATAAACGTTATTTTGCAGCTTGTTTATTCATTGATTAATTAACTGATTGGCCTGCTTGCAAAGTGAGTTCTCCATAGCGTCAACTGATGATGTTTATGTGTGTTTCCATCTGCTCAGAGCGCGTTATTCTGGAGGCTTTTTGGCTGAGACGCACACTTAGGACCATATTCACAAAGACAGAAAGGCATGCGCAATTGACTGCTTCTTACCAACACTGCCAATGCCAGCTGTTTGAACAATGTACAAGGTCATTAATGTACAATGTCATTATGTACAATGTATTAAGTCATTCAGTCAGTGAATACCTGCAGCATCAGCAGCAGCACTGAGTGTTGCGTTCACAGTCTCCAGTTTTACGCACGGCACACAGCGGGAACCTTAAGTTATGATTTCAGTCTGCAGTCTGTTCATTGACCAATGAACTACAACTGCTATTGGGAACTTCCAGACTTAAACTTCCAGACTTTGTAAAGTTGAATGAAGAATGTTTTACAGAATGAATTTTTAACAAATGTATTACAGACACTTTAATATCATTCACTGACTTTATTAAATGCTCGGATTTTGTTTCTTACGCAACTTTTATTATCTCCATTTTGAAGTTGAAGATGTCTGTCTCAAACGTATAACTCATACACAATATTATGAGTTCTATGCAGCCTTCTTTATTATTGTTTATTATTATGTCATTAAAAAGATAAATTGAAAGCAGGAAGTAGCTGCCAAACATCTCATGAGGTCTCTGTGGTGTCTTATTTATTTATTGTATATTTATGTAACCAGGTACTAAAAGCAACAATATATCTACTGTATACACTGTAGGAAATAAAACTCATTATGGCACCAAAAAAAGACCCAAAGTACTTTTAGTCGACTTTGTCACATTTGAAGTCCAAGCAATACAACCTCAAGACTAGCAGGCTTTCCAACAGCAATGTTAAGGTAAATGTACACAAGGTAAAGACTGATTCAAAATGTTAAATGGACTGCCCTTATATAGCACCTTTTTAATGTTCCAAACACTCAAAGCTATTTACTACATGTCATGCTCACCCATTTAAACACATTCATACACTGATGTTTTTTCCACAGCAGCTGCTTATGCAAAAGCTGCAATATGTGTTAGCCCAACAAAATTCAAATGAGGGACAGGCAGCATCAATATGTCCCTTGAGATAAAGAAACATAGGCTATGATGGCTTGCCTATGTCCTGAGGATGCACAATGAAAGGATAGCTGCCTCAATATTGACTCCAACAGGAAGGACAGTCTTGACAAGACCAGATACAGACTGGGTCTATTGCTAAATGGGGTAACCAAAATAATCTAAAATCTAAGCTTAAAACACTCTATAGGTCAGAGGGGAACTGACTTGGTAATGATTCGCTGTGGGTTTGTAACTATGACACCTTACACATGCACATAGTCATTTGAAGAATTGTTCAGATATTTAGATGTCAGATGTGTATCTTTAAGACAAACTAGATCAAATAAAGTAGAAAACTGAACATTTGAGAGTCTGTAAAGTTATTTGCTCCAAATATCATTTGCATGTTTCCATCGGTCTGTGTGGGTGAGCTCCATGTCAACAACATGTATGCAAAACCAGCCAGCCAACACCCCAACATAGTCAAATCACCCTCGCAACATGGTTGGCCCCAACAGCAACTATTTTTAGTAGTCCATAAAATAATAAAGTCAAACACTGGCATTTATTAGTTATTGTACTTCATCTGCATTGGATACAAAAATATATGTGCATCTTGCCATTAACACACACACGCACGCACGCACGCACGCACGCACGCACACACACACACACACACACACACACACACACACACACACACGCACGCACATCTGTGCACATTTAGTGGTGCAAAACCAGTTTAAGTTGCTGTCCCTTAAGCATTCCATGAAGGTTAACATGTATTTTTTTAGAAGCATAATTTCACCCATAAAGTAACATTCTTGCATTAAAATAAAGTACTTTTAGTGTCTTTTAGTAATAAAGACTAGACCTATATTATATATTGTGGTGAGTTGTGTTTTTACATCATCCCAAATGTTTGCAACAATGTTGAAACTCAGAGAAATCTGTCATGTTGTTTGAGGTTTCCTACTTGCCTCTAGTTGATATAACTTCTGGGTAAACACGAGATACGTCAGAGAGTGAGGAACAAAGTTGGTGAACGTGACTAAATGTAATGGTAATAAAACTTTAATATTTATTATGTCAGATAGATTTTCATCAGGAATGGTAGTAGTTTGACAATGAAGACAACAACTCCCATGATCCCGCGCGACTTCACAATGTCATCAAACTACGTCTTTTGCAATTGGTTTGATATGAGAGACCCCTAGTGGCATAAATTACATACTATACCTTTAAGACCATGAGGGACATACCAACTTAACAGAAGCTTCCACAAGTATCCCAATGGGATCCTGTGCTTTCAGAACATCTGGCAAGAGCTTTCAAATGAGAGGCAAGCACCTTACCATGAATAAGGACACAGCCACTGTGCAGTAGTGAGTCTGCGCAGTGGTGATTGGAGCTGGCGCCACCGTATTGAGGTCCCGCCCATATGCCCAGCCGACTCAATCGCAAGCAGCCTCAGCTGTGTATTGATGTGAAACCCCATTTTTATAGCTTCAAATAACAAATTAAAACCAAACTAATCAGAAAAATGCACATACCTCAGCGTGATAAGAACTGCCTAAAATGATTTTTCTTTTTTGGGGGAAAAATGTATTTGACATGTACTTTGATTTTTTTTGTTTGGCTCATGTCCCATCTCCTAACATGGAGGCAGTGGGCTTTATCATCTATACGGCAGTCAGCCACCAGGGGGCGATAGAGAGGTTTTGGCTTCACTTTTTTGTCATGTCGCCCATCTTTATATATGTTCATGGCCCCCCCAGAAGAAGACTGGAGTTGTGTATATTAAAATTTTGAGATCACATGTGACTGCTGTGAGGAACCCCTCAATATCTAATCATATTGGATGATTACACACCTCAATTTATATCTAGTGCCAGTGTTAAGCACCAATGCAGGAAGTAGAGTGTCCTTTATGTAGAGAGGCAAAAGTATAGAAGTCACAAGTAGAGTTGCAAGACTTTTAGATTTTCTAAAGTGGGGTCTAAAGTCATTACATTTGTGACTCGAGTCTGACTTGAATCCAAGTCGTGTGATTCAAGTCCACAGCTCTGCCAGACACCATCATTAAACAGAACATAGGCAGGGGGTTGCCATCTCCACTGTTATAAACCACCTGTTATCACATGACTGAAAGTTCACTATCAGGTCCATCTGCTGAATGAATATGCAGTAGAGAACTCTCAGTCATTAGTAAGTGGACCTTGGATCAGTCTGGCTTTGACTAAACTGAAGTTAACCTACATTGCTGCTATTCCTTAATATTAGGGAACAGATCATGACATGATTCAACCTAGACATCTGAGTATAAAGTCTTCCCGTCCCGGTCCTCCCAGGTTACACATGACCTGGGTCTGTGGGCTATCCTGGTGACATCCAGTTCAGGTTTACTGTAGTACCACTTGCAGAGCAGCTGGTCCAACTGCTCCTGCTTGGATATCCCATGAAGCCTCTCCTCTTCCTCATCCTCCCACTTCTCTCTGGAGTTTGTGATGAAGGGCGGGTGGGGAAGACGGAGCACAGTGTCCTCCCTCATGTCCTCAAAGAACAGCACCACGCACTTGCGGGCGAAGTCACGAGCATGCAGGACGCAGGTTTCGTCGAAGAGCTTCTGCTCCACGTCGAGGTAGTTGCTCCAGTAGCGCGTCTGCAGGAAGGTGGCGTGGTCGTCGAAACAGGGCTTGATGAGGCGACCCAGTGCTCCCAGCACAATCAGGAAGAGAAGGATGGACCAGCCAACGGCCTAGACAGGGCGAGGAAGTTAGCTACACAAAGCCAACTAAAGCTACCAGTCATGTGGTGCAGTGACTTTGACGAGAACACAAAGAGCCATCAGTCAGTGGCAGCGGACAACAATTATTTTACTCTTCTTTTACTCTCGCCTTAAATGTTAAATCCACAGCCTGTCTTTCGATGTGAAATATTACGACTTTATTCTCGTAATTTCCCCAAAAAATAAAATATTTTTTCTCTCTTAGTATGGCCCTAATACTCCGTCGTAATTTCAGACAGTCGTGCTCTATTAGTTTAAAGGTACCATATGTAAGATTCAGAAGCATTTTACTGATTACTAGTTACTGATTATTAATCAGTTTTTAATGCCAATGTGCCGCTTTTCTCCCACTTCTCTAACGTTAGCTTTAAAACGGCTGCACCAACAATAGTCTACGTGCCTTGGAAATGTTGAGTACCCCAAGTTTTATGTTAGAAATGTACCCAGCATTCAAAATACAAAATGGCTGTTTAAACTGGAAGTGGCTTTAGTGGATTATCAGCTAACTCATCCAGACACAGTGTGGGTCTGGCATTGTTGCTTTATGGTTTTGGCTGATGGGGTGTTGTAGGGAGTTGTAAATGGCGAGCTATTGGTTCAAATTAGTAACATTATTCTAAATATGATTGTAATTTATTTTCCAGCACTCACTGTTCATTTCAGCATTCAGTCTAGTGTCTGTCACTGTTGGATAATGCTCGCTCACACCTACAGACTGTACGCAGCGTAAGCAACAGGACGCTGGCTGCAGTTCACCAAACGGCCACTGGTGGCACTATTAACGACGGTTTTCAGAAAGTTAAATATAGAAACTATGGGTACTGTATGTACGTGTACTGCTTGCCCTTATAATTTTGAGTTAATCGGTTAATCATATCTGTCCTTACACTGCATGCTGTAACGCAACCTGATTCACACCACTGAAGTGGCTCTCAGACCAGGTGTGTGGGATAAATGAAGTCTGACCCAGATCTGACAGAATACACCACTGATGGTGGTACTGTTGGGTCTCTGTAAATAATGTTTTAAAGAGTTCGGTCTAGACCTGCTCTATTTGAAAAGTGTCCTGAGATAACTTCTGTTATGAATTGGCGCTATACAAATAAATTGAATTGAATTGATTGAAGCTACAAAGATGTGTTGTGTGGATGCATGCTGAGGTTGTAACAGCTTACTTGTGAATAGCAGCGAACGTAACGAGACACTGCTTTGCGGAAAGAGCTGTTCCTGAAGATAACGTCCTCCTTGCAGGGTACTTTGGCCATGATTTTAATCACATCCAGACCTGTATTATTGGGCAAACCTGAGGAAACATACCACATGATACATCAGATAGATGTGTGCCTTATGTAACAGTATAGACTGTAGTAAGAAAACTCATTGTTTTTCTCTCGCTACAATGTGTTTGCAGATACCAGAGAAGAGTCCAGGATCTACACTAACACTGAAGGCACAAATGAAGATCTTTCCATCAAGCAAAGTGACCAGGATCCAAACCATCGGGGCCAGCAGGGCCCTCTGGAGCATTGCTGAGAACAGGTACCTGCAGGAATACATAAAATCAGTTTTCATCCTCACATTTTTCTACAACTTGATCTGGAAATATCACCTTTAGCTTGTCACAGTCTCCTGGTAAAAAACAAACTAAAAACAAACGCTGTAGCATAATGTCAGCAGCATACAGTATATATAGGAAGCATATATTCTTTGTATAGTACACAATGGATGCTGGATTTAACGGAATACGACTAATACTTACGTATAACGACGAGTGTGGACACTTGTGCAAGACATGTAAATGGCTCAGTTTTGCTGTTAAATAGAGACTTGATTTTGTTTGGTTACAACTTTGAAGACTATCAAGATCAACTATCTTCAAGCCACCAACCCAAAGCGTCTTTCTCTCTTTCTCAACACGGATTAGTTGTTTTTGTTGAGGCCCGGTTCATTCTTGCAGATGCCATTAGGAGCACTAGGAGGAGCCAGAAGAACCTGATTGTTTCACAGAGTATCTGTCTCATGTTCTACTGTCAGGATATAGTGAACGTTTCAGCAAATATTACTAAAAGTTACTTTTATAAAACTTACCTCCTGTAGCTTTAATATTTTATTAATAATGCTTTCAACTGTAATTAATTTATGAATTTGTTATTTATTAGTTTTGATAATAATTTGCACTATATTATTTGCACAATATAGTTTACCTCAGCTTGTAATAAACCCAATTTTTGGGGGTTGGGTCGGATCAGGCCTACTTTTTGGGCCTGATCAAAGCTCTATAACCAGTAATAGGAAAAATATTGCCAGGACTCTAGGGGATTCCTACCATCACTCTGATTATGATTGGACTCAATTGAATGAGGGCTTTCACCTGCATGTACTTTACTGATCACTGAATACTTTCAATTCACTCTGCACTCAAATGTTACAGTAAGAGCTGTCTGTAATCCAAAACAAGATAATGACCTTCAAAGTGAGTTTACAGTCAGTGAACTCTTTATTCTATAAATTCTCTCTGTCTGTCTGTCTGTCTGTCTGTCTGTCTGTCTGTCTGTCTGTCTGTCTGTCTGTCTCTCTCTCTCTCTCTCTCTCCAACTGGTCGAGACAGACGACCACCCACCTAGAGCCGAAGGATCTGTCCTAGGTTTCTGCCTTTTAACAGGCAGTTTTTCCTTGCCCTTGTCGCCAAGGTCTTGCTCATGGTGGTACTGTTGGGTCTCTGTAAATAATGTTTTAAAGAGTTCGGTCTAGACCTGCTCTATTTGAAAAGTGTCCTGAGATAACTTCTGTTATGAATTGGTGCTATACAAATAAAATTGAATTGAATTGAATTAAGGAGAAGTCAATCTTTGACTCACTTAACCACAGCAGGGTTCTTGGATCTGTTTCCAGTGGGCCTCATCCACTCGTCCATCATGACGCCTGTATGCCGGTTGACCAGGACCCCCAGGAAGAATAGTATGATGGGCGGGACGATCATCACTCCCAGAGAGTAGAGTTTGTTGTACTGAGGGAGGCACGGGCAGTTAAAGTCAAAGCTGGTGTAGAGCTTGACGCTGACCAGGGCCAGGATGATGCAGATGCCGTTGGAGATGGACTCAGAGTTGGACTGGAAATACTGCAGGACTAACTTCAGACGCTCCATTGCTTAGATATCCTGTTGGTAATGTTAAGGGTGGAGGTAGAAGCAGTAAGGTGATGAAAACAGAAATAGGAAATCTGCACATGAAGGTCTGAGTATTAGATTTAAAACCCAGACTGTTCACCTTACAATGTGAACCAATCCTTTCTGAAGAAAAGCCTTAAATCCTCAGTTTTAGCGGTCTCAGTGAACAACCTGAGCTTAGTGGGGAGGCAGCAAGTGTGGAGTGAGTCCTGCAGTGATCCAGGGAGAGTCTGAGAATGCATGAAAACACCTGACCAGGTGACAGAGCCGTGCTGCCACACCCTGCCTCTCAGCACTCACATCAAAGGCTCACAGAGAGAAAGGGAGCTGCAGCAGTCGTTCCTGGTACAGTATTGTAGTCCTGACTTGGCCTGTACTCAACCTCAAAATGACTGTACAGTTAATCCATCACCACTCCAAAAAAGAAAAGAAAAATCCCTTATGTTCATAGTTTGAGCCAGTAGTTCCCAACCTTTTTCCTGAAGGGAGCCATTTTCTATCAGAGTAAACTAAGTTCATATAATATTCAGTAATAACAGCAGAGAATAACTGATAAACTGTACAATGACTGCAGGAAGATTGTGTAAAAGCAGAGATTTGGATGCATTTAGCAGATCATTTCCTGTGAATATTGATCACAGAGCAGCAGAGTTAGAGTTTTCCTGATATTTTTAGGAACTTTTTATACAATTCAAGGAACACTTTATTTGGAAAATCCACCTACAGATAGTTTGTAACATTTCAACAGCTCATTAGTTGAGATTCAACCATTTTCTGATGTTACACCACTGTGGTTATGATTTAGTTAGGGTGTGTGGGTTTTTTTGAAGTTGTGTTTGTGACAACTGTTTTGTTTCCATTGTAGGCTACTGTTGATTGTTTCATATGTATAATCAGCCTCAAAATGCAATGAGCAGAACGTGTAAATATCTGTGGATAATGTAATAATGTAGGTAAAAGCAAAAAGTATAGATACCTGAAAACTACTTTAGTACAGTAACTAAGTATTTGTACTTTGCTGACAAAAGGAACATAATATAAAATTTTTTGGAGCTTAGTGTATGCGTTCAAGGAAAATGAAGAGCATTCCTTCTTAATACAAGGAATGCTGGGAAAAAAACCATGTCAAAGTTATCAAATCATAGTTTATTTATATAAAAAGACATGGAAGAACATGAAAGTGCTTTGATTACAACATTGTTAATGACAATCTGAGAACTAACCCGACTGGACCGTGTCACTATAGCTTTGTCTTGTTGAACAGATGCATAGACCCTGTGCATGTTAACAGTCAGAGGGCAGTGTGACCGAAGGTAGAACAAAATAACCTTGAGTTGTGCGTTTCACTGGAATGTTCTAGTGCTCGAGGGAGAAAATAAGCTAAAGAATGGGTAGACTGAATCTTTTTGTTTTTAACTGTTGCCGTGGCAATGATCAAAATGTCACTGACAGCCTTCAAACACCCCACTGACTGTAAAATCTCTAAAGGGTTCAGTGATTTAACACCACAGACTATGTTCAACACAAAAACAGTACAACAAAGAAGCTCAAACAGGACTATCAAGGCAGTAAAGAAAGTAAAAGAGAAAAAATCAACAACAAACTATTCAAAGTCTACAAACAGTAGTTTCAGGATGTTTCCTTTACATTTCTGCTAACAGAGACAGTGGTTGGGAGCCATCCAGATGCAGCAGAAGGACTGTGGTCACAAGTTCATATCTGAATATTTCAAGCGCTCTCAGGTCAACGTGATCTCTGATGACTCTTTGTCATCAATCACTCTGAAGACTCCCACTTTCTCCTTCTTGCTCCCCTTGTCCTTGTCTGAAAAAAATACAAAATACATGAATTCAGTTCCCTATGATGATTTGATGACGCAACTCATTATTTTCTACGGCATCCTTAGATAAGACTGTAAGGGCAACCTTAGCCTAAGCGGGCTCCACAGTACATGGAACTATGAGATTAAAAAGAGCTATTAGAGACAAGTGTTGTTTGCACAATAAATACAAACTGTTTGCTTGGCTAGATACCATGACAGGTAGTGATAAAAGGTTTCTGTGACTAGGACTAACAAGCCTTTTAGATGTTTCTATTATTCATTATGTTGAATGAAAATTTGTCTCTCCAGGAAGTTTCGATCGCAATAATGAATGCATATTCAACCATTTCCTTAGTGTGAACGTAACTTTATACAAGTAATGTTAACGTCATTAATCAAATACATTTTTAAGACCTGTCACATTAAAGACACCTTAAGGCCTAAAATTCTGATTATTGGATTTTAGACAATTTAGGACACTGCAGACATCTTATGTTCAGATTGTAATGCTGTTAACTGTTGGTGGGAGAGACCAAATTAATAAGACTAGTCTGGCCTGTGTCGTCCTGCAATAATTCAGTAAATCTCCTCACCCAGCAAGTCACTGCGATCCAGCAAAACCTCCAGGTCCTTGTCGCTGATCACCTTTCCCCTGGATGCTTTCACTTCCCTGAGTGGGACCAAAGTTACAGTTAAATGTTACACTCTACTTCTGTTGAGTCACAGTAAGGACACACCTATTTTCAGTTCTCATTTACACTCTCTAAACATTTAAACTTGTTGGAGTAGACGATGATTTCTTACTTCTCAGTTCCTCTGGCTTTCAGCAGCTCCATCAGCTCATCCAGATCAATGCAGCTTTTACTTTGGTTCAGCTCTGCCCTCCCACCTTTGAACTTATCTGTGGAGCAAAGCAATAAATGAAAATAATCTAAAGTCAGAATTTGGAAAACATTTTCAGACCGTGCAGTCCAGTGCTGCCAATTCAACACATGGCACAAGATAGGATCAACCTTAGCTTATGGGCAACCTTCAATATCCCATTACAGTGAAGCCACTCACTCTTGTGGATGACCATCTGTTCCAGCTTCCTCTTGGCCGAGGCCCTCTCCAGGATCTTCTGGTCGATGGTGTTGGCTGTGACCAGGCGGTACACCACCACTGGTTTGGTTTGCCCGATGCGGTGACAGCGGTCCTGAGCCTGCAGGTCTGCCTGGGGGTTCTGGGAGGGGAAGGGAACATCACCACACATTAATTAAACACGATACACGTGGAGGGAAGTCTCAGCAGGGTAAAAAGGTTTTGGTTTATTATACATGATTTTTAATCTTCACCCACCCAGTCACTGTCAAAGATGATGACGGTGTCAGCAGCTGTCAGGTTGATCCCAAGTCCCCCTGCTCTGGTGCTCAGCAGGAACAGGAACACCTCTGGATCTTTGGAAAACTTTGTCATCTGTGGGAGAAGCAGCAGTTGGTATACTCACAGAGCCATCCCACAGTGACATGCTCAGAATGTTAGAAGCATTTCTGCGCAGTGTAAAACTCACATTTTCGTCTCTGTCGGCGTAGGACATGCTGCCATCCAGTCGGCTGTACTGGAAGCCCCGCAGATAGCAGTAATCCATCAAAATATCCAAGATTGATGTCATCTGACTGAAGATCAGAACCTGGACGACAACAACCAGCCACGCATAAGAGTCAGAAATACCAGGTGTGAAATATAAGTACTTTGGAGCCAACTCAGCAGGGCTACTAGCCACTAGTTAGTTTATTGGATTTCATTAATCCTCCACCTTTGCTAATAATGATGCAGTTTTAACATATAGAGAGATATTAGCTCCTGGTGTGCTGTGTTTCACCTTATGTCCCCTTTTTTTCAGTGCAGGCAGCAGTGCGTCCAGTATGAGAAACTTCCCAGAGCTCTGCACCAGCTGTTCATCAATCTGCAGCGAGGACAACCGCACAGATACAGGATGTGAAGACATGAACACAAAACACAAGAAAAACACAATTAACATGAGTCATACAACTGCACTTCTTTATCACTACTGAAACACATTCTTCCTTCCTTCTGTTTGGGGACATCGGGGATACTCCAAAGTTCTACAGCACCTAAAGCAGTACTGTATCAAAGAAGCACAGGTGACTGTGGGGTACCTTGAACTCCTGTGTGGCAGGGTCGAGGGGGTACTCCACCAGGTAGGGGTGGTTGCAGCATCTCTTTAGCAGCATGAGGATGTTCTGCAGCCTCAGGTTGATCTGGGCATCCAGCGGGCTCTGGACATCCAGCACTGGAGGGGCGCTAGAGGGGACAGGAAGATGTGAGCAGGTGGTTACACAGCCACAGGTTGATCATGTTTGTAGAGGACATGCCTTCAGAACATGGTTTGTTAAATAATCAGCACTTCCTAACAAAGGCTACAACACACTGTTGAGGTGTGTGTGTGTGTGTGTGTGTGTGTGTGTGTGTGTGTGTGTACAGTGCTGACCTCTGCTCAAGCTCCTTACGGACCCTGTCCAGATATTTCTCCAGGTCATGTGGGGTCTCTGTATTGGTTTCTCTGTAGTCCACCACCTTTCGACTGCGACGCTTTGGCCTGCCACTTGATGTCAACGCTACAGGAGCCTCCACCTGAGTAAACCAAGAGAGCAGACAATTTCAATCACTTTTTTGATGGTGATTAAAGTGACAATTTGGTTAAATATATATAAAGACATGTAAATAGGAATAAGAATAATGGCAATGTCCACTTTAGAGACCAACTGATAACAAAAACAACACTTTGAAGATCTCGTAAACCTGTTTCAAAAATATATTTTGACCAAGAAATCGGCTGATATATCAGCCTGGCAAAAAAATGTAATAGATAAATCTGTTGTTAAACACCACGTTTAAAACCAGTTTTTCAGTCTTAACAGTGTGGGGACATTGGTGCTGGCACTGTATCTGTGGGGAAAGCCCTGAGACATTTTCACAATCAGGACAATGTCACCATTTTAGTGAATGCTACATGGCGTTACCTTTTCCTGGCCCAGCATCTTGCCGATGGTTTTGTTGACCACAGCAGTGTAAAAGGACTCCTGTTTGGCTGTCAGAGGAGCATAAACGATGATCTCCTTCTTAGGAGGAACCTCCAGCGTCACATCTGACTTCAGCCTCCTCAGCAGGAACGGAGTCAGAATCTGAAACCAGAGAAAACCTTTCCTAAATGCTTTTTATGAGAAAATTCTATATACATGTCTGTGCTAAGTCTCTCATGTGGCATGTGCTTCTGTCTGAGTCATCATAGGATGGAAAGTGGGTCTCCCATGACTGCTCTGTGTGGTGGTGGTTTGGAGCAGTGGTTCCCCACCTTATTCTGTTCAATCTTTGGGTTTATCAGTTGTTCTGTATGTGTTTAATACAATAGAAAATATCCATAATATTGTCAGTTTACTCAACGATAGAAAAGGCCTCCCTTAGAAGAATAAGGTTAGGAACCCCTGGTTTGGACGACTGACCTGGTGCAACATGCTCAGGATGTTCTGCTCGCGCTCAGAAGCCACCACGTTCTCAGCCTCGCCGA